CCCCCGGCCCCGCCTGCCGACGTAACGCATCCTCCACCGAGCTCCCAGCCCTTTACGCTGTCCGCATGGGACACAGGGGGAAACTGAGGCGCGCCCAGGTCTCCTATCTGCAGTTCAGTGCCCAATCCCATCTATTCTGCTGCTGGGCTCCTTCGCTCATGAGGCCTCAGCCTGGCCCGTTAGGAGAGCCAGCCCGGGGTTAGCCCAGGCCCAGAGAAGTTCCCCAGCTCAGAAGCATCCAGAATCCATTCAGCCATGCAGCAGCACCTCGCCCAGCTGCGCTGGCAGCCCGCACTGTCCTAGTCTGATTTATTTTTAAGGCCCTCTAATTGACTTTTAAGAGGCCTGCTCTCCTGAGCCAGTTCCAGAACCAGATCTCCTGCAGAGGCAGCTTCAGCCGCTAAGGACGCGGCTCGCTGTGGGATTCTGGAAGCCAGCCAGGCACGTGCCGCACTGGGGGTCAAGCGCAGAGGAGGGCGGAGGGAGGAAGATGGAGAGGCGGATCCCCACTGCATTGTGTCCAGTGTGCGTCCGTGACTGCAGCGAGACCAAGACATGAAGGATCTTGGGGCACTTGAGACACCCTGGGTCTATTGCTTGCTCTGCAACAGACTCCCCGTGTGAACCTGGCTGAGGCCCTGTCCCTCAGTTTCCCCATCTGTAAAATGGAACTACTGGCGGTTCCCTCCCTGGCAGGCGTGGTGTTGGGATAAACACACTGAGCATCGCGTGGCCTTCGCGAGGGATGAGACTGGAGCGGGAAACAAACGCTGATCTCCTGCTGGCCTGTGCAGCGGGTTGAGACTCTCCACCGCGGCGCCTCCTGCTGGGCTCCCTGGGAATTAGCGCCTAAGCCTCAGAGCACCCCCTGCTGGCCGGTGTCTCGCCCTCAGTTACCTGGCCCCTGAGTGACGGCAGACCCCGTGTCCCTCCCGGCCCCACAGCAATGCCCCTGCCTTCCTCCCCTCGCAGGGACCCCCAAATCTCCTAGACCCACCTAGCCTCAGTGACCCACAGTCCCCAGGAGCCCCCCTCTACAGCCCCAGCTGGGCCCCACCTGGCTGCTTGCTGCAGCTCCACAGCCCTGGCCCTCCCCCAGGGCTGGGTTAACCCTTGCTAGGCCAGTGCGGGGCAGCCGCCGCCTCCCAGCCCTTACACAGACTGACCCAGTATTGCTGTTTGGGAGCCAATTCCGGCTCCCTGGGAATTAGCGCCTAAGCCTCAGAGCACCCCCTGCTGGCCGGTGTCTCGCCCTCAGTTACCTGGCCCCTGAGTGACGGCAGACCCCGTGTCCCTCCCGGCCCCACAGCCATGCCCCTGCCTTCCTCCCCTCGCAGCTGACTCACCACGGCGGCGCCTAAAGCAGCTCGCAAGCCAAACTCCAATGTCTTCTCGGGCGAAGGGCCGTTTTGGGCTGCCTGCCCCAAGCCGGCTACACACCCATGCCGTCCTGCCAGGCCCTGCCCACCTGCTGCCATGCCACTCCTGCTCTTGACCCACATTTCCACTGCGCTCCAGATAAGTGGAGCTGCAAGTGCTGACTCACCACGGCGGCGCCTAAAGCAGCTCGCAAGCCAAACTCCAATGTCTTCTCGGGCGAAGGGCCGTTTTGGGCTGCCTGCCCCAAGCCGGCTACACACCCATGCCGTCCTGCCAGGCCCTGCCCACCTGCTGCCATGCCACTCCTGCTCTTGACCCACATTTCCACTGCGCTCCAGATAAGTGGAGCTGCAAGTGCTATTGGACAGCAACGCAACCCGGCTGCCCTTTGGATATAAGTTCTGGTCGGCCTCTCCCAGCGACCTTCCGCTGCCATCTGCACATTGATTTTCTGCTAGAGCTGAAGGGAAAATCTTGCCTTGATCGTTACAGTCATTTCTGTCACTCAAACCTGCCTCTCTCTCCAGGTTCTCCCATCTGCTGCGGACTGATAAGTGGGCACTTTGCCTTTTTAAGTGGGCACTTCTGAAAGCCGGGCGGGATCGGACATCCACCAGCTCCAGCCTGCAATCCGGCTTTCAGGCTCGAACGTGGCAGAACCTACGGGGCTTCACGTTTTAGGATATTACTGCATTTTGAAATTAACCTCCCTGTGGGAGAGCAACTATAGAAACTTTACATTGGACGCATCAGCCTGGACTCTTAAGTCCTCAAGTTTGGCTGTGCTGATGACAACCCAAGATCCGGCCCTCGCCGCGTCAGAGTCACTCCGGTTTTCAAACAAAAGTGCTTTCCAGAAAGAACAGCCAAGAACCAAGCCTCTGCCTCAGCGGCGTGCGACCAGAACAAAACAAAGCGAAAGCATCTCGAGCCGTTTTTAAAACTGTCCTTTCCCAAGCAGCCACTTCGGCTGCAAGAACTGTGTCGCTCAAATGTCAGTCTAGCACAAGGCCTTAACCAGAAGAGTGGCCAACATTTAAATAACCAATCAATATCGAATCTAAGTAGTGGACGAGCATCTGTATGTGTTAGGTAATCTGACCCCCTGTGACGTAGTGGGGGTACCTTGCTGGTTGCTATGCTGGGGCTGTGGGTGACCCCCACTGGCTGCTGTCTGTAGCATGGCCCAGCAGGGCAGGGGATGAGTCACTAGGCAAGGGGCTCTCAACCTGTCCGACCAGCTACCCCCTAGGGAGAGAAACAAAGGAAGGTGGATGCCGCCCCTGGCTGGGGGGCAGGGCTGGAAGAGAGTTAGTTTCTCTCTGGGATCATGGTTGAGACAGCCTAGGGAAAGGGGCTGGAATTTAGGGGCCCAGTCTCCCCCATCTCAAGGGGGGCTGAGGCATCCTAGGCCTGCCCTGGAACCAGATTACATCTGTGCTGTGCTGTATCCTGGAGAAGCAATAAACTCCCTCTGTTCTACTGGCTGGGGGAGTCTGTCCGTGTCACTACACCCCCTCAGTGTTCCGGTCCAGCATTCACAGCTGGCATGACACCCCTCAGTCCTCCGGCTCCTCAGAACCCACTGCTGTTCCAGGCTGGGATTGTATTCTCCAGCCTGACAACACCGTTCCACTAACAGGTCAGTTCACAGAGTACCAGCTGTAGCATGCCACCGCCTGCTCTTTGTACAACCGTTCTTGTGAGACCCCACACGTGTCATGTTACTTCCTGAACTCAGTACAACTGTCGCTAGGGGACACGGTATCTTCTCCTGCCCCCTCCGGACTGTCTCCTGTTGCCTGTTACAGTTATCACCGGGGGAAGAGACTCCAGTTGTGCCCCTTCCAGTCCATGGTGCAATCCCTGGCAAATGGCTCCCACCCCGTCTGGGATATGGATGTTGTCTGCACAGAGCTGGCTATCCCCCCGTAGGCCCTGCTGCAGCGCCTGTACAAACACGGAGGAACACTCGGTCTGTTATTCCCCAGTCAGTCATCCAACCCTCCAGCTGCCATTTCCCAACTGCGCCTCTCAAAATCCTGCTGTCAGCCCCTTCTCGTTGCTAGGCGCCTTCTGCCGCCCTTTCCTCGTTACCATAGCACCCCCCTCAAGCTGGTTACGGGCAGAAGGGAGCAGCTCGCGTCAGCCAGCCTGGGCTAGTAATCGGCAGTTTCTAGTGAATGCGCATCACTGGTCCCCACGACTCCCCCTCTCCCATCTAGACGCCCCTTTGAACACTCGGCTTCTGGGGCCGCCCTCGGTCTTGCCACTGCGAGGGCTTTATACGGGGACAAAGGCGCCCGCCAATTCCACTGCTACAGTCGCGGTCACTGGCATGGGTTCGGGTCCCGCTTTCTGTCCACACCAGAGCCACCCCACCCCGCAGATGCAAAGCCCTGCCGCTCCCTGCCTGGGAGAGCAAGGCTGAGTCGCTGGGCCTGTCTGGGACAAACTGGCCATGGTCCTGTGTTGCCCCAATGCGCCTGAGTTTGGGGAGGAGGAGGGAAGTG